GGGGGGGGGATCTGCCTGTCACAGGGAAGGAAACTGGGGCTGACTAGAGAAACCACAGTAATGGCAAAGCTCCGCATCTGCTAAACCGGCGTCCCCCACTGTGAGCACGGGGCGTGCGTGTGTGTGTGTGCGCGCATGTGTGTGTGCGGGGGCGTGCTACCCACAGCAATCCTACACTAAAATCATTACCATAGCTCACCTTGGAGCCTCCTCCAAGCACATCCCCACAACCTCATTCTCCTGCTTTAATATTTCATAAACGTCAAATACAGCAGCGATGAGGCCGCCGGTGATGAATTGTACACACGGGATCCGGCACGGCTGAGCGTGACTTGGGTTCTGACTGTGCCGCATGTACAGAGAGGGAGCCCCGTCCGTCTCTCTCAGGCGCTACACTGCCACCCTCCACCCCCCACAGGACCCAAAGACCCCTGACCACCCTACATTACTACAAACCTACTCAGGTATTACATTTCGGCATTAAACTAAACAGTGATTAGGAACAGTGTACACAGATAGCACACCGGCGCAAAAATACGGAAATATTGACACCCATGTGGTGAAACATAACATACCTGTTTGTGCATTTCGATGTTCAGCCCGTAAGACATTTCATAGTACTGTAAAATATAGAAGAATCAAGATTAGGGCATTTTATACGTTTTAGATGCTGATACTCAGCACAGATTTCAGCGCTATGATGTCATGCAGGCAGGAAACGGGACAGAGATCCAGCTCGGCATATCCGACCCGAACGTCCTGCCCGCGGGAACGTAAAGTCCTGTTTTCCCTTCATCCCGCTCATGTAGAGCATCCGTTTCCCAATCCGGTCCTCAGGGAACCACAGACAGGTCACATTTTTGCTCCCTCCCAGCTCCCGGTAGGGGAGAAATGTGGACAGTCTGGCAGGGAGCAAAAACACGGACTGACTGCGGCTCCCCGAGGAGCGGACTGGGAAACACTGATGTAGGCAGAAGCCCAGGGTCAGTGCAAAGGCGAGAGCTGGTGACAGCGGCACGGGCCCTAGCAGGCGGGCGAGCGGAGCCTCCCTCCCGTCGGAAGCCGCCCAGGTGAGACCAGACTGAGATGGAAGATGATTCAATTAGAGCGGGAGGGTCCAGAGTCCCGGGCGGCACCTATACAGTAAGGGGGCGTTTGGGAGAGAGAGGGATGGCAGCGGCACTGGTACAGAACTGCGACCGGGCGGGGGGGGGGACCGGGCGGGAGCCTCGGATGACAGGAGAGCTGCTTAACAGCCAGGTACCCAGGCTTTCATCCAAGGCTCCGGAATTTTTGGATTCAAATCCTAGGGCCTCACAGCCATTTCGGTACTTAATTCGGCTAATTCTAGTAAGTCTGTATCCAGGAATAACTGGCAAAGGAGACAGAGCAAGTCGCCCCCTTTAGTCGCCAAAGACGGAAAACCATCTGCAATCCCACAGACGCAGGGGTGGTACTGACAGCCCCCCCCCCCTCGCAGCTGGACTACCGAGTGGCCAGACAGACGAGCAGCAGGGGGCGTAGCGTTTAAAGAGCTGGGCCTGCGCTTCCTGAGCGTTAAAAATAGCCTGGCTGTTGGGACAGGAAACACGAAAGGTGTGTAGTCAGACACCACCGAGGAGGGACGCTACGCCAGGCATGTAAATGATGTAACGCAGAGTAAGAGCTCAAGCCTGGCCTGAAGAGGGCCCCGCGGGGGCCACCACAGCACCCCCCCACCCCCCCAGGAATTCCAACCCCCACTTGCTGGCAGCCAGCTGGGCTGCGCTCCCATCCCCCAGATTGAGAACACAAACCATGGGGGGGGGGGGGGGAAGCCTTCCAGCAGCCAAAAAAAAAAGAAAAATTAACAGACAAAATTAAATCTGGGAAACAATTATGCGCTGCGTGAAGTGAAATGAAATCTTGGGGAGAAAAAAAACAAGACGGTTATCAAGCTTCAGCCGCGAGAAAGAGAGGGAGTGTGAGAGGACTGGGTGGAAGACAGAGATGGGGAGGTGAAGGATGGGGGCGAGAGCAGTGGGGGGATGCTGGTTTCTGGCCTTGAAGGACTGGGGCGGCGACGGGGGTGACGGTGACGACGGTGACGGGGGTGACGGAGACGGGGGTGACGGCCGTGATGGGGGTGACGGAGACGGGGGTGATGGTGATGGTGGTGACGGAGACGACGGCGACGGTGACGGGGGTGACGGAGACGGGGGTGACGGTGACGGGTCTCACCATGATGTAGTGGCGCTGCATTTCAGACTTCTCACTGGCCAGCTTGTCACACTCCAGCTTGAGGCTGGAACACAAAGGGAGGCTGAGCTGTGAGAGGGAGCATGGGGCGGACCCCCCCCCCAAAACGGTAAATAGTCCCACCGCAAACGCCAATGGCACAGAAGCAGAAACACACTCCCAGTCTTGCTCCCCTGGTCAGCGGGGTTGCTGATTCTCAGACCTGGACCCACGGGTCGCGCTGGAGGGTACGAGGCAGTGAGTCCCGCTCGGCCGGAGGCTGCTCACCCCAGTGGGCTATAGGGGTCAGGCATGAGCAGCCGTGGGGATGAGCATAGCCTGCTGAGGATGGGGGGGGGGGACCACCGCGCTGATGATGGCTGTGATGTCATGGGGAGAACGACTTTCTACACGTAGGTGAGGCAGCTGGTTAATCTGCCCCACTGTGTGTGTGTGTGTGTGTGTGTGTGTGTGTGTGTGTGCAGAGCAAACACAACATGTGTGCACACACACATATATTCATATATATTTTTTTAAACACTGGAAAACCTTCCCATTCACCTTTCACACAGGCTACTCCTTGTCTAATCCCTCTCCCACCAATAAAACTCTAACAACAAGCTCGGAGTTGCCATGACGACCACCCCTACCCCTGCTGCTGAATTTGTTCGGCTGCAAACCCCTAAATGGCCATCGCCTGGCTGTGTTGCATTGTGATTGGTGGAGGCCCGGGTGTGGGCGGGGCTCTCGAGCCCAACATTGTGACACGTCCTCCCGGCCATCCTCCCTCCCCTATGGCGAGGCGGCCGTCACCGTCACGTTGATTCGTGATGCTTTATTGTTTCGGAGCGAGTGCCGGTCAGCGGCCGCCATGTGGGAACACACAACGCCGCAAAACTCCTCCTCTAATTGGACCTTTACTTACAGACTCGGAAGCCTGTCAAAAGGATTTCGCCCACGGCTACAGAAGCCCATGTGCGGGGAGGAGAGCCGATGGAAACCAGCCTGAGCCGACAGCCGATCGGGAGAGTGTCAGGTAGGATCTGAGGTACGGGGAGGCCGTGACACGCGTGTGACAAAGGCGGCTGCCGGAATTAAAGTCACTCTTACAAATTGCTGACCTCAATGACACCAGCAGACTTTGAGGGAACGAAAGCACCGTAAGGGGCTTGAACGGTGCACTTTTGAAGGGCCATTTGAAAATTTTACGGATGAGGGAGGGGAAGTCAGGAGGTCAGGCTGCCAGATCTGTATTACTGTCCCACTGAAAACTTAATGAGGGCAGCCGAACGGCCATCTCAGTCACCGCAGGAGAAAGCGGCTGCCGGAAGTTTCCCCTGCCCCGCCATCGCGCCGGACCTGCGCCCACAGCCCCCCTGCTGGGCCCCTGGATCTCGCTGGGCCGGTCTGCACCCTACCTGTGGTACTGCGCTTGGAGGAACTGGAACTCGTCCTTGATTCGGTCGCAGGAGTCGGAGGTTGTGAATTTCAGCTGTTGTGATGACTGGGATGAAGCCTGTGTGATAGAAAGTGACCGAAGTAAACACACTGACACCGAACGAATAAAACACTGGGTCCGCAGCACGGACTGTCTGTCTATATAATCCAGTGTTTCCCAACCCGCTCCTCGGGGACCCACAGCCGGACCGCGTTTTTGCTCTCTCCCAGCTCCCTGCCAGACATCATGGATTGGCTGAGGGTCCCCCTAGACTAAGTGTTAGGAAACAGAGGGATAAACCATTACTTTAGTGACACAGGTGACATTAACGGTTCTGCAGTTTTCACCTGTAACACCTGCAGGTACCCAGCGTCTGATGTTAGTTTGATCCTGAGATTCAATATCAGAAAAAGATATTTCGCAGTAAAATCAGAAAGTCAAACTTACAACGTGCTGAAACACTACTGTGCAGTAAACAGCAAATGTCTCCAATGGTCACTCAAATACATGCTAAAATGTATGATAAAACAGCAATAAAACTTTGCCCAGACTCATTCAGCAACGAGTCACAGAAGATTCATTAGGACCACAGGAGAAATGCGCTTTGATCTGACATTAATCACGTAACTGCTGGATCAAACTGAACTGGCCTGTCTGTAGATTTTAATATTTCTGATTCTGAATGACATAACCAGTGTTCGTATTTCCACTTATGACACACAGCACGTCTCCTGGGCCACTGAAGCTTTTCCCGCTCTGACACTCCTTAATGCACATGCATCTTTCGATGGACCGTCAAAACTCTAGCCTTCTCCGCTAACGTGGTCCGAGTATGACCAGCATAAATTATCCACGGATAAAAAGTCCAGGAACTCCTGTTCAGCTGATGCACTGAGGTGATTCATAAGGAACTTCGTAACTCCCTTAGAGCCGCACTTACGGGTGCAGAGAACAGATGGCAATTGTATGCTAATGTGACGAGAGAAGCACTTGGCAGGTTAGCATTTAGCAGTAACGCTTGCTAAAAGAAATCAAAGAAATGCACGCATATTTGGGGTTTTTAGCATTATAAGGGTACAGATATAGCATCATTTAAACCATTACTTTAAATAGCAAACATTATGGTATTGTTCAGCACATCTCTTTGGCTGGGGGAGTTTATATGCAAGCATCAGTCAAGACAGAACCCCCACTGGAAATTTTGTTCTAAAGGCCGGAGACAAACACACTCATGGGTTACGTCTGCATTGATACGTCACAATTTTTTTGCGAGAGTTTCCGAAAAAAAGATCTGCGTTCGCACTGCTGTTATTCCTAGCGTTGGAAAAAAACTTCTGCGTTCACACTGCTCTGTGTAAAAGGTAAATGTCATAGTGGAGGTTAATATATATTTTTCTCTTTCTCATTTGCACATTTAACCAAAGCTTTTTATGATATATTTTTTAGAAGTGCCGCACTTTATATTTTATTTGTTAGTTGTGGCTTGAGCACGTGTCATTTGCACATTTTTTTGTCCATCCAAAATTTTTTGTAATTCTAGAAGTGGTGGAGTACATATTTTCAATCATTTTCACGTTGATTAGTAATAAAGTTCAGTTTTTATAAACGCTTGACTGTTGATTTATCTCACACAAAACCATGCCTTTAAAGTAAATGCATGTATTTTATTTGGCAAAAGTGAAATATCACAGTACTGTAGTGTCACAAACACAAAGCTGCACATAAAAGGAACCATTACAGCAAAAACACAGGGATCCAGAAATGTAGTCATTACACTTCTCACTCTCTTCCCCTGTTGCAAAGCACTCTTATGTTCGATGGCAGGATGGATTTACCTCAAGCTAGAGCTTCTCTTAAACTTGGCTCAGGTACAGTCTCGTTTTGAGCTTCACAATAGTTATAAACAGCATACAATGTACATAAAACACGATTTAGCTGAAATCTGAAGAAAATTACTGCGTTAAACTAAACGAAAACATATTAGTGCAGATGGGTCCTAATTCTTCAGTTTGTTCAGGTGCTTTCTCCTGTGTTGCCCATTTCAATGCGCCCCAGATTTTAGTATATCTGTATCACCTCAAGCCACTGAATATGAACCAGACTGGGTCCTATGATGTCATAATGAACATATGATGTCATAATTTACATCACAGTCTGATGGGGGACCAGGTATTAAGAATACAAAGGGCTACCTAGAGATAAACAAGAGTCAACAGGTCCAGTATAGATTTATACCAGTATTTATGGGTTAATCTGGTTCACAGATTAAAAGTAGAGATCACTTAAATATTACTACATACTTAAAACAGGAACTATGACATCGTATTACTCATCACAAAAGAAGAATATCAGACAGTTACTTGAATTCAAGAGACTGCTTTTCTCTTGCAGACCGCTTCCTGTTCAGTCCAATTAACCACCCGCCATCGGAAACTGGCCACGCTCTGAAGATGAGCTTCGCGTTTGCTTCCAGCCCCAATTGAGAGAATGGGGAGTCTATTCCGGCACACGCGTCTGCTCTGAGAATCCAAGTTTGTCCCTGGTGAGCAGGACCACCTTTATCTGCATTTGGCCAGCGATCCCTTCCATTACCATTTACATTTCGTCGCCGGAACTGCCGCTTTTATCCCCAGCGACCTACATTTTCAGCCATTTATGCGGAGGAATATTTTGTGGGAGCAATTCGGGTTAAGTGCCGTAAGGGCCGGTAGGACTGGAGGCCCTCTGGGGACTGGAGGAATGATCGCGATTTCAGGCACATTAGAATGCAGACTCTGAGCAGAGGTAAAGCATGGCGCCCTGTCCAGCCAGCTGAATGTCCCAGCAGGCCGTTTCCTCACTGATTGGCACAGCAGACAGCTTTATCCAGGCTCCAGCTACACACGTTCCTCGTAGCATATTCTCTGACAGCGCTGCGTTTCCACAAGGGAGACTGAAGCAGAATGAAGCAGGGCCTTTTCTTCAGGACACAAAAGGAAAAGCTCCCACCTGGAATTTCAACATAGGCCATAAAATCTAAATGGCAGCATGATTTTTTTTCCTTAGAAAAAAAAAAAAAAAGCTTTTAAAGCCAGAAACTTTAGCCTTAGCAGCCACTGGTGGATTCTTGAATTCATTTTTTTTCCCCCCTCTTTGCCCTTTTGTCCCAGGGACCAAGGTGCTCATTGAGAAGCACTGGCTTTAAAGGTCCGATCTCTTTGTGCGCGGCCAGTTATAGACTTTTAAAGGGCAGTTCTACACAGAATGAATGCCCTGTCCGAGGCATTCAGGAATTAAAATACATCTAAATGTGACCTGCCTCCGCTCCGGCAACCTATGAATTGTGAGCATCCATTTCACTACTGCCCGCCTTTGCATGTTCATTAGCATACATGTATTATCATTAGCAAATATGCGCTCGGTGTGCAAGTAACCCTGTGTGGGATTTCTCTGCACTCAAAGCAGAAGCGAGAGAAATCTAACAATTAAAAAAAATCATTTAAAAATAAGCCTTAAAGAGTAGCTGCTTTTTCCATTGTTACCATCTTTTTCTTCCAGCGTTCGGAATAGCTTATCACAGAAGCAGCCTACACCCATTTGAGCGATTTGCTTTTTATAACTGACCTGTGCAAATGTAAACCATTTCCCCCTTTCTGGTAAAACGTCTCCAAGAAGCCCAGCTGACAGGGGCTCGAGAGAGAGAGAGAGCGCTAACAGAGCCTGGGGAGACGCAGGGGAAGGAAGCGGTCGGCGGCTGTGAAATATTGCGGGGGCCCTTGGCACAGAGCTGACAAGATCGCCGCTGCTGGAAGGTGCGTCTTAAAGGAAGAGGCTTCAGCCTCGACGTGCTGGAAAACATCCGGCTGTGTGAATAGCAAAAAAAAAAAAAAAAAGAAAAGCAAAAGGCTGTCCATCAACCGCGGACCAGCCTCCTGGTTCACAACCCAGACAGCCCTGTCGAGGGCCGAAACTGGATTCCCATTTAGAGTTATTTAGAGTTCCTGAGGGCAGGCCTTCAGAGTTACGTCCAGACTCTTGGCGGCCTGCTAAAGGTCTGCTTGGACACTGCTGAGGTGCCCTGAAGGGGATTATTCCACATGACCAATCGCGATGAAGGGCGTCCTGACCACACCCTGAGGATCTGGCCGTGAATAAACTCTGAGTGAGCCAAGGGCCTTGGGGCGGAACGTCCGGCCCAAGCACGTCCAAAAAAAATAATAATAAAAAAAAAGTTCTTCAACCGCCACGCCTCCTGTTGGCATCTTAAGGTACTGTAGCTATAGGCATATGTCACTCAGCTGAGGGCCTTTAAGATTGGCTCCATTGTGCAAGTCCTACACAAGAGCTGGAGTTGTCAATCACTCGCCGGCAGCTTTCGCCTGTGCACATGCCCATCCTCGCCGCTCCACTACGGCCCAGTGCACTGCTCAGCAGGTGTAACAACAGCTCCACACACTCCTGAATACTGATGCGGCCCTACGTGCACACACACACGCACACACACGCACACAGCAGGTAAAGAGGCACAGCAAAAATAGAGATCTGGGCCTGTCACTCCTGCCAAATTAGAACGCGTGTATTTTTATCCCACTGCCGGGGCTGAACTGCTTATGCTCCACGTTTGCCACTAATTCTGCAGAGAAGCTTCTGGAGGGCCTCGCACGCGGCCGGGCGGAGAGGGCCGTCGGCAATGGGCCATGCGTGTGGCCCCTTGAAAAGGGCCGCCGTGATCTGACGGGAAAGGAGAAAATAAAACGTCTTTTCAAGGCCCGGCGCAGAAAAAGCTGCAGGTTCCCTGTTTTCACAGCTGTATTGATCGGGGGGGGGGGGGGGTGGGGGGGGGGGGGGGGGGGGGGGGGGTTTGGGGAGGGAGGTCGCGCTTAGCACAAGCCCTCCATGTGAACGCTCTTTATTCCCGTCAATGGGGCCGCTCTATCTTGCTCTTCTTCCTTTCAATCCCGCCGGAGCCCTTTCTCAAGGTCCCCCCCCCCCCTAGCTTTGAAAGTGTGAGTGCAAATCCAATAGGGTTGGGGGGGAGGTGGGTGGGTGGGTAGACAAAGACTCAGAAATCCTCACGCCGTCCGAAATCAATTAGTGCA